TTAGCAGAGGATCTATATAATACTGGGCTCAGAAGGCTTTCAGGGTATGCCATAATGTCCAAGGTACTGTTAAAGGTGAAAATGGGGTCTATCAGGAGCAGGCCAAGGATCAAACATCCACTGGAACCGGAGCCAACTTTGAGGCTAGCTTTATTATGCACAGACTAGACTTCATGTGATTTACGCGAGTATGCAGTTTTTCTTTCTTTTCTTTTGGGAATCTTTGTCCAAATTGGCAATTTCCTCAGTACAAGGTAGACTATTCGGGGTCATGGCCAGACGGTCCGATGAGGTTATGACCCAAATGAATGGTAACTTAAACTGTTTGCCCCGAACGTTGTTTCAAATAGTCTGAAGCACGTTGTTGAACTGAGTGATAATGATGTGTGAGTCTTGTCGTGATCAGACACAACATCGATCAGTTCAATTGAAGATAGTCAACTTAGCTGATATAAAAAGCATTGAATTCGGTACATAATTTTAAGTGTTTTGAACTGTTTTGAATCAAAGTCAAAGGAGACTTGAATAAGATTATATTATAACAACTTGCGCATGTAACTTGTACAGCTTGTTATGTAGCAGAATACAGCTTGATCACCGGTTGACGTTCTCTCCAAAGCTATTGACCTTCGCGTCTTGAACTTCCGTTTCTCCCCTTTTCTCCCTCTTAACTTCACTTTAAATTCATCCAACTTCACCGGTTCTTAAGCTTCATCACACTACTTTGAACGCGTTTTCCCTTACCAAAAACCTTTGACTCGTACGTACTTCTCATATTTCTTTGCTTCGTTGCGCGTTTGCTGGTATCCTTCCAGCCCAATGCGCAACGTTGTTGTCTATCTAACAGATAAAGTTCATTCGAGAATGGCTGATTCTTGATTAAATCGCAATAATCTTTCCACATGTTTACCTCTTGATTGTGCTCAGCCTGCTTAAAATCCCCAATGGCTGCTACTACGAAAGCTGATGACCCTAAGCCGAAGAGTGAGTTTTGTCCCTGGCCGCTGTTGCCTTCATCTCGAATGCATGTGGCAGACCTCGTTTGTCGGCGATAACCGTTTTTTTTCATATACTCACTTTTTTTCGCGTCTCGCTGCACGCTCGGGGTTTTTCGTCAGTATTCCATTTCACCTTCCTCGCATATCGCTTGAGTCTTTCTTCCCGTTTCTGATTCTAAGCACGTGTTGATCAAACAGTTTTAGAGGTCGTTCCTGCTGCTGGCGCAAACAAGAAAAAGTCAAACGCTTATCAAACCTATATGAAGGTATGTAATATCACTCTTACCCTTTGAATATTAGCATTGACACGTACCTTGACGTATATTCTTTCGCCTTGTTCTGTCTACTAGGCTGCTCTCAATGATTTGAAGATATCGTCCCCTTCTATCACTCACAAAGAGCGATTCCTGTTGGCAGCCAAAAACTGGGAAACCGATCCGTTAGTACTTATTGACTACCTATCTCACTTTCATGTGACCCTTCACGTGACTCTA